TTTCTAATTTCAGACATTTTCCTTTTAGTTGGATTGAATACTCATTTTACAAAAGGCAAGGCAGAGATGGCTTCATTTTCAAATGCAAAAAAATTCCATTAAGCATTGTTGTTGTTAGGTGTCATCAAGTCCATACCAACTAGACAGTGTTAATTATTATCATTTATCAAGGGTCAGGGCCAAAGTTTATCTTTCTTCATGTGTAAATTATTAGAATTGCACATGGGTTAATGAATGCCCAAGCAAATCATTTTCAAGCATACTTGAATAACTTAAAAATTTCTATTTTACCAGTAAAATCTTAGCATAATCAATTGCTATGGAGTTGGTTTTGACTCATGACACTTCCATGTGTGTCAGAATAGAACTGTTGTGCTCCACAAGGTTTTCAGCTGATGATTTTTCAGAATTCCATCTCCAGGACTTTCATCTTAGGCATGAATGAGTAGATTCAAACAGCGGCCAAGCTTGATAAGCACGACCCAGGGACTCCTTAACTTATTAATATACATACAATTCTTACCATACGTCTAGTATTTAAAAATTTTTTTCTGTACAACTCAATGTGACTACAAACTAATCTTAACATACCAAATCAAATAAATTTTAAAAATCTTTTTTTACTTAGAGTACTTGAAAATATAGTATAAGTTTGGGAAGTCAGGAAAATCTTCAGGGATAAGATTAATCTTGTGTTGATCCTTGCAGACTCTAGAATGGTGAATATAGCAGAAATGAAACTTTCTAAAGGAAGGCAAAGGAAGAGAAAAAATGGGAACTATAAGTTAAAGTCACAGAAGAGATAAGTAACCATTAGTTGTTTTATGCAGAGCCTTTGACAGATTCATTCCACTTTTTTCTCTTTGGAATGGTCAGTTTCAGTTTTATTCTTAGAAATAAGTAGAAGCAAAGACTGCTAAATGCTGCAAATTAGTGTCCTCTGGGAATACTTTAGTTCTAATTGCTGAAGAAGGGAAGTAGAAAATTACGACAGTTTTAAATGATACTTAAGATTTTTAGTACCAAGTTCAATCAGCATAGTCATCAACTGACATTGACTTTGAACCCCTTGTGTGAATGGCATTGAACCAAATCCCACAGGAAATAGTATCCTCTGCTTGCCTGAGCAAACTCAGAATTGAACTATTGTTTTCAAAGCCATAAATAATAACAGTAGATGCTAATAAACTGTGAGATTCCAGCTTTGGAGTTAGGAGGTAAAGATAGAAAAAAAAACACACGAAAGTTTTTTTTAACGGAGACAGTATCTACTTTTTGTCTTGAAAAAAGTCACTGCCCTAGCCAGTAAAATGATAAGCACTTTAATATTCCACCAAATTGTATTTTAGTTTTTTTAGATAGAAAGAAGTGTATTTTATGACCATTGTATGAATAATTCCTTTTAATAATTAAAAATGAAGAGATGAGTTGATATGCAGCATATCAGGTAGAATCTTAAAAATAAATTATTTGTAAATAAATAAATAAATGATTTGTGCCTTAATTGAAAATTCAAATGAAAAGAAATCTTGATGGATAAAATGTAAAAAAAAATTGACAATTCTATTTTTAATTTGTGTTGTATGAACTGCAAAATTAAAATAATTTAATGTTAATGTATTTTTCATTCAGCATTTACAAGGTTTCTTTTAAATATGGACAAATTTTAGGTCTGTATCTTTCCTCAGCGATCCTCCATTCCTAGCTTTTCCCTCCCCATCCCAATCTCTGTAGCTCTAGTAGAGATCCTTTCGCTGGCTACCCCATCATTACCATTCTAATACCATTTAAGGTAGCTCTGCTGGATGTATTTATTCCGAGTCCTACAATCCAGTTTCTCTTTTAACCATGCCTTTTAAATCAACTTGACAAACCAGTTTATTTTTCCCTTTTCATTTCAACAACTCGTGATTTAGGTTGGTTAGGAGGATATACTGTAATCTGGGAGCAACCTCTTCCCCTTGGAGTACTTGAGAGGCTTCCTCCTTTCTTGGCTCAACATGCTGAAGTCAGGCAGAGTACCTTGTGAAGGACTTCAGCCCCCACAGTTCCCTGTGTGCGCATGCCCTCTCTTCTTACAGTTGTCAAAGTGCTTTTGCCAGAGCGGTCACATAATCAACCTGAAAGAAGAAAATAAATACTATACACTTTAAAATTTTATCGATCCTTAAAAACTGGACACTCAAAGGTAACTGCTATTAAGAATTTGTTACTTGAAATTGGGTTATTTCGTGTAAAGGAAGATCTATTGTGTGTGGTGGGGGGAGGGGAAGTAGGTATATATTTCTCGGACTTTTCTGTAAATAAGCAAAAAAAAAAAAGCTATAAAGGTAATAACTGAGAAACATTGCAAATGTACTTTGTAAATGTTATCTTAATCTACAGCTTACCTTTGGTTTAAAAGGACCTTATTTGTTAAAGGTGGGTCTTGACCTTGACAGTGAATTTATTCAGAAAGTGAAATTTGTATCTTTAAGGAGTGTTGAGAAGAGAAATAGGTGCTCCTGATTTGATAAATATTCTTAAATTTAAAAGTGTATTAATATTAATTATAGCCTTTGTAAAAATATTCTGAGTCCAGCCTACTTTTTGGCTTTTTTCCCCATAGTACAACATTCATATTTCCACCAAAAGCATGTAGTTTAAACTGAAGGCATTAGCACAAAGCAGATACAAGCAACCGAAAAAACTGGGTGATATTAAAATTATAATCAAATGCATGCTATAATCAAATGCAGCCATGATGATACGGCTATTGTAAAAAACAATTCTAGCCCACTAGAAGCAACTCAAATCACAGATTACAGTGGTTTACTGCAGCACTGCTTTAACCAACTATAAAAACATCTCTTTGTATGATCACTACTTTTGGTAGCAATAGAACTTTGTGCTGTATGAACCCCAAGCTTTACTTGCCTCTTTGTGTCATATTTTATAAATTTACTATACTGATCAAAGCCATTGTTTGAGACCCAAGGAACTGAAGAACATAAAAGCACCCAAAGTAGGTTTTATTGTTAATAGTTGGCAATTTATGATGTATATCATATGATATTTTATTTTTTCAGTATGTATGTGTGTGTGTGTGTGGGGGGGCTTGTTGGAAAGAAGGCAGAGGAGTGAAAAGGAGAGTAGGGTGGCTATGAAACATGCTCCTGAGCCGACTATTTAGTCTGTGTATGAAACTTTAAAATGGAAGATACCAGTTAATCATTTTAAAACTAGGCTTTAATAAAACAGTCGAACTACTTTTTATTCTGTGTTTTGGTCTGACATCATTTCCTTAGTAATTAAGAGTGCAGCATCTCCACTTTTAATATATTTATTTTACAACAGTTATTACCAAGAAAATGGCTAAAAGACAGTTTCTGTGTATCTGAATGCCCTTTTACAAGGCTCCTGAGAAAGATACTTCTCTAAATAGCTGAGTGAACTAAGCAATTGCATTAAATATATTAACTTTGTTGCAATAATACTGAATTATGTCTAAAAATAATTATATGTTGGGTTATGTGCTCCTTTAATATTTCAAAATATTTGTTTCAGGAAGTTTCAGCTCTATAATATTCATATTTTAAATAACACGTTCTAAGAGACACACTCAGTAATAACTACACATAGGGAACTCTGGTCAATGATTACGATTTCCGTCCTTTAATACAAACACATGCTGTATGGTTGAGGTGAATATAGCTCTTCTATGTGAAATGGAATATACCATACACTCCTTATATGGCTAAATAAAGCAGTGTTGGCAATGCACTATAATTACATAAATGAGAATTCAGGGCTTTGTACTACACTATTTTTAACACTTTTGATAACATATGGTAACAGGGTTTTCAAATCTTAATCTTTCACTGCAAATACTAGTGATGTAGATTATAAATTTGCCAAAGTATTGTGACCAAGACAGCAGCAGGAGGATTTAAAAATTATAATCTGGCAACCTAGAATAATTTTAACTGTCTACGTAAATCTCAGAGGGATTTTTTAAAAAGCATTCTCCATCTCACAGTCTCACACACGCACACACCCCCACCCTCTCTCTCTCTCTCTCTCTCTCTCTCTCTGTCTCGCTCGCTTTCTGTCTTGACCTCAAATCCAACCAGAAGCATTTCTCCACTCTGCGGAGTCATTTTCAGGCTCTTGTGGAGACCTGAAGCAGCACTAGATCGCAGGAAATCTCTTGTGCGGTAGAATTGGCGACAATAAAATTGAAGAACAAGCAGTAAAACAGTAAACCTTAGAGTACCAAGAAGCAACGCTTCCAAACATCTCAGCAAGTTTTTCTTTAAGATCGATCTTTCTTTCTTTCTCTCTTTTAATGTCTCCTTACAAAATGGAGTAGCTGCAGCTACAGGGAGGCCAGAGAATTGTGCAGCTGAGTCCTCCTCCTTAACAAATGCCAAGGATTTTCCTCCTTGTGGTTCACTGCAGCTAAATGAAACAATTATCAGAGCAAGAAGGCAGTTAGCTAATCAAGAAGGATACGACTGCTGTTTCTTTAAAGTGCTCGAGCAGGGAAGTGGGAAGAAAGGGTCCTGTGCACGCACAGAGTCTTTTTAACCTTGATGAAGGACGCAGCAGTATTTATTGACGTATGCAAATAACTGGGGGAGGGTGGTGCTTGGGAAAAAACAGGAACCAGAATCAGTTTCTCATTGCTGGGTGAACGTTCTGAGTTCCGGTGAAGGGAAAAGAGACGTGGCGAAATTGCTGTCTTTCTGTCTTATAAGCACATCTCTCAGTAATACAGAAAAGGAACCAAGACATCAGAAAGGTTGAAGACGCTATCACAGTATTTTTAGAGACCTAGGGCGAGCTCCCCCCGCCCCTGGAGTCCGAACTGTTCTTCTAAATGGGAGATTACGGATTTGCATTGCAATTGGCTAGTAGCGGTGGCAGTGGATTTTCGCAAGGAAAACACCCGCCCGCTTCAGCGAGGAGCATTAATGATCACAATGACAATAACGCCTCTTTCTTTATTCCCATTTCAGCTGCGCAAACCATGCAGGATGATTTACTGATGGACAAAAGCAAAACCCAGCCCCAGCCCCAGCAGCAGCGGCAACAGCAGCAGCAACCCCAGCCCGAGCCCAGTGCAGCCGAAACCCCATCCACACCCCTCTCCTCAGAGACCCCCAAGTCAGAGGACAACAGCGCAGTGCCGGCCCTCAGCCCCACGGCGGCCCCACCGGCCCCCAACGGTCCGGACAAGATGCAGATGGAATCGCCGCTCCTGCCAGGCTTGAGTTTCCACCAGCCCCCTCAGCAGCCGCCACCTCAGGAGCCCACGGCTCCTGGCGCGTCGCTGTCGCCGTCCTTCGGCAGCACCTGGTCCACGGGCACCACAAACGCAGTGGAGGACAGCTTCTTTCAGGGGATCACCCCAGTCAACGGGACCATGCTCTTCCAGAACTTCCCGCACCACGTCAACCCTGTCTTTGGAGGCACGTTCTCCCCACAGATTGGCCTGGCACAGACCCAGCACCACCAGCAGCCGCCACCGCCGCCCGCGCCACAGCCGGCACAGCCTGCGCAGCCCCCGCAGCCACAGCCTCCGCAGCAGCGCCGGTCACCCGCCAGCCCCAGCCAGGCACCGTACGCTCAGAGGAACGCTACAGCTGCATACGGCCACCAGCCCATCATGACCAGCAAGCCGTCTTCATCCTCTGCTGCTGCCGCCGCGGCTGCCGCTGCCGCCGCCTCATCCGCCTCGTCCAGCTGGAACACGCACCAGAGCGTGAACGCAGCCTGGAGCGCGCCGTCCAACCCGTGGGGCGGCCTGCAGGCAGGCCGGGACCCTCGCCGGGCGGTCGGTGTGGGCGTAGGTGTGGGTGTTGGGGTGCCTTCGCCGCTCAACCCCATCTCCCCGCTCAAAAAGCCCTTCTCCAGCAATGTGATCGCGCCACCCAAGTTCCCCCGCGCGGCCCCGCTCACCTCCAAGTCCTGGATGGAAGATAACGCTTTCCGGACCGATAATGGTAACAATCTGTTGCCATTTCAGGTAATGCTTGGGTGTACCTATCCCCCGCCTTCTTCCTACCCTGCTCCCTTTGCCTCTCTTCCTTGCCCTTTAATCTCCCACCAGGTTTTGTTTATTAAAAAGTAGCCATACTCAGCTTCTATGCCGCCTCAAGCTACAATTTCAATGGGACTGTTCTACTCCTGGCAGACGGGTGTGGGGAACACTTTGACTGCTGGAGGAATCCTATTAATGCTTCCTGACTGGATAGGCAAGGGCCTTTTTTCTTTTAGTTTATTTTCTCCTTCATTGTGCTTGGGCCTTTTGCTGTGACCTTCTCTGAAAAGATAAACTGCAGGTGTATGGCAGGGGGCTGACATAGTTCCAGGCTGATGAGATTCCTATCTATTCAAGTAGCTACACATCTCAGGTGATGATGTCCACTCCCAAATCACCCTAGCTTTACTAGTAAAGAGGTTGACAGTCCTCCAATGGTACCATTTCAGACAGTTGCATATGCTCAAACTAACGTGAACACATGTGATTATTACTCACTAAGGTGCTGAAATCATCAATAGCAATCAGCATATTGTCCCTACTGGGAAAATTATGAGTGTGAGATTCCAATAAACACCGGAACTCTGTAAGGGACCCGGATGGAAGAGTGGAAATTCTAGGGAGGTAACCCTTCCTATGTTACATAGGACTTAGAAGTTGTTTGTTTTTTTTTTTTTTACAGAGGAAAGAGACAATAGGACACGACCTTCAGAGCCATATTGCGATGGAGTCTATTTGCTAGCTAGCACTGAAATATTTAAAGCTGCAGTTGGGTTATTTAAGAAGACAATGCAGATCAATTACACCATTTGAAACTGCTCAAAGTGAAAGTCTTGCAACTTTAATGAAAAATGAGTCTTATGTCTTGGTGTTAAATGCCAGTTAAAAACTCAGGAAGTGTCCCAGACATAAAGGTTGAATGGAGAGTGTCCTTATTTCTGTTCATGCTCTCTAATCTGGTCCACTGCCACAGCAGTTGGCAATATCCTGGACACTGTGGTTCTGAAAAGGAGTAGTGAGGGTAAGTGTTTACTGGGGGCTTTTGCTCTCGGAAACACATCCTTCACTTATAAATTGACTTGGCTGTCAGCTTCTAGGCTCAGTTAAAAAGAAAGGGGGGAAACAAGAGAGCGGCTTTAGGCCAAGATCCAATTTGGATGGTCAAGGAAAATGAAGCAAATCTTTTGAGCAGTGTTTAAAAGATGGCTGAGCTGACAATTTGACAGAGGTAGTTTAAATCGACAGGTGTAAAATTGGAACCTTAATTTTGTTTACATTTCAGACATTTAAGATGGCTCGAATCCATAAAGGAGGAGGCGAGATTATTGAGAAACATTATGTCTGTCTAGGCCAGCCAGAGTAAGGGTTTTTAACCTTACCGGTTCTGAGGGATCCACAAAAACCATAAGTTGTTTGTATGTGAGATTTTAATTGAGAGTGTCTATAACTTCATTAAATGTCCACAGGAATTCTTAGGCATGGAGAGGATCTCAGTATTTAGGTGTTTTTCTTACCTTTATTCTAAGAATTGTATATTTAAACAAAATTAAGAGATACTGCAAAATAGGATACATTTGATAGAGAAATGTAGGAATCTGCTTTCTGGAATTTCTGTGTGCTCTGGTAGCGTAGTGGTTATGAGTCGGGCTGCTGTGCTCACGATCAGCAGTTCGAAACTACCAGACATTCTGCCAAAGAAAAATGAGGCTTTCTGCTCCTGTAAAGATTTACAGCCTCGGAAATCTTATATAGGGTCTCTAGGAGTCAGAACCGACTCCATGGCACACTACCACCACCACCAAATTTGGAAGGGGTAGAGCAGTGAGTTTATATTTGGTAGCAGAGCCTCTCTGTAACAGTCTCCTTTTTTATTCTAATACTCCCTATTCAAGTCCTGTCTTAGAGAATAACTTAATATCTATTAGATAGGTTTTGGGATTGAGAGCTGATGGTATAAACCAGGGGTGGGGAAAATTTTTTTGCCAAGGGCCATTTAGATATTTATAACATCATATGTGGGCCATACAAAATTATCAACTTAAAAATTAACCTGCTATATTTAGTCAAACATTTAATTAATTCACCCCAGTGTGATTGCTGGAACTTTGGTTACTTGACAGGACCAGGCCAGATGATGTCGTGGACTTTGTGAGTTAAGGCCTGCGGGCCAGTGGTTCCCCACCCCTGGCATAGTTTTCTTTTTCTAAGAATTGAATGGTAACTTTTGATTAATTATCTCCTGAAATAGAAAATGGAAAGGGTAAATCTACAAAATTTTCCCTTGTAGTAGTGTGGGGGTTGTCAATTGTTTCTCAGCAAACCATTTACTGGGATACTAATGAGTAGACTGCATTGAATTTGGTCTCTTGCCTTTTCATCCTTGGTGGTGCTTTGAGTAGACAAAAATGACCAAAAGATTTGTAGGAGGAGTGTTTTGATTGAAAACTAAGCATTATGTATTTGGCCTGAGGTAGAATTGCGTACATTTTATGGTCCATTTCATTTTCTTATGTAAAATGGAGCTCCTATGTTTAAAGCAACATTAGAACCAGAGGAGGAGTAACTCGATTTTGCTTTTGCTTATAATATTATCAGGCTTGGCTTGTGTTGATGACAGTATCAAATAATTTTATAAAACAAAGTCAAGACACCTTGAGTCTTATGTGTAGAGTTTTGCATGATTGTGCATTCATTTCATTTTACTAAATAAGGGGGAAAATATTATAAGTAGTCCTAATGCTTTTTTTTTGTTTTTTTTTTAAACTTGTATTTTGGCAGATACAATCTTTTCCTTCAAACTGAAGAGTTTATTTTGTAACATGCTAACTTTATTTTTTATTTCACATACTTTGAGCTATAAGGTGCTTTCATTAAAGATCTCTATTATACATATATTTGAGAACATTTTTAAAAATCTATACCCCCTACAATGCTTTTTCAGTCTCTTGTGCCAGTTTCTGCTAGCACAATAGGATAGATTTTTGGAGCTCTACTTCTGTGGTTTATATTGCAAAAGCAGTAACTGTATTTGAATGTGGCTTTTCAAAACTGCACATGCTTCCTTACTCTGCCTCTTCCCAATACTGATAAGATTTGTTTCCCTGGGCTGGGGTGGCTGCTTCCTTAGGGATTACTTATATTTAAAAGTCACTTTGATTCTATAAATGAGGAAACTGAGGTTCTGAATGGCATAAGCTTTAACACAGGGTCAAACGCTCTGGATAATTTTGTCCATATGTGTTTTAAACTTTCCTGTAGCTCTGATGATACCAGGTGGAATTCATTTTGAGTTGGATTCTCTTTGCATTACATTCAGAAGGTCTTACTGATGGAATTAATGCCTCCTGATGATATATGTGCTACCAAAAGATTTTAAGAACAGTGAGGCGCTCCACCAGCAGCATTATTCCTATGCATCCTTCGGTATTTGTATGGATAGAAAAGTCTAGGTATGAGAGAGGGCTAGAGCAGAGATGTTTTCTATGTGGAGTGAATTTGGGCTTAGATGAGGCTCTCTGCTGCAAAGATTTACAAGCCTCAGAAACCCATACAGGGTCTCTGTGAGTCGAAACTGAGTCAATGGCACTTTCCAACAACATCCCCTCTTCTCGGATCTCTGGTAGCGTAGTGGTTACGAATCGGACTGTAAACTGCAAGGTCAGCAGTTCAAAACTACCAGCTGTTCCGTGGGAGAAAGATGAGGGTTTCTGCTCCCGTAAAGATTTATAGCCTCGGAAACCCTGTACAGGGTCACTATGAGTTGGAACTGACTCCACGGCACGTACCAACAACAACTTCTCATCTGAAATAAAAGGCCTAATATGTGAGGTGACTTGCTCAAGTTCAGGTGGGATACTTTTCTGTCACAGCAGGCTTTGGAGGCAGATTCAAAAGTAAACCCACTGCTACTACTGACCCTGTAGCAGTAGAACTGCTCTGTAGGATTTTTTTTTTTTTTTTTTAACTTTTGAAGAACTCTATTTGGGACAAACAATAATACAGTTGTTGTTGTTAGGTGCTATTGAATCAGTATCTATTCATAGCGACCCTGTCTATGCAAACAGAATGAAACAATGCCCAGTCCTGGGCCAATTTCACAATTATTACCACACTTGAGCCCACTGATGCTGCCACTTTGCCTCTATAGGGTTTCTGAAGCTATCAATATTTATGGAAGGAGACTACCTCATCTTTCTCGGGCAGACTGACTGGTAGATTTAAACCACTAACCTTTCAGTTCCTATCTGAGCACTTTAACGGCTGCGCCTCCAGGACTCCATGGTGGCAGATTGCTTGAGTATAAATCCTAACTCTGCCAGTTATCAGCTTCATAATCTGGAACAAATAAGTGAACAAACACAGTGACCCTTAATTTCTTCATGAGTTAAATGGTAATACTAGTAGTTTCTTGCCTCATAAGAATATAGCAAATGAAAGACTACATTTAGTACAGTGCCTGGCTCATAGTAAAACCCCCATAAATATTTGGTTAAGATTACTGCTATTCTTTTTTTCTGTCTTAAGGTACCTCAAAGATTGGGTATAGCCTATCATAAGATGGGTTACTAACATGCAGTTTACTACAATAGAAATATTCTCAGATTTCTGTGTAATGTCATTTCCCCTTTTGTTTGATGCTACCCTCAGAATCATGTGGAACCTCTGCTATAGTAAGGTAATAATTCAACATTTACTACTTAGTTTGCATGTAGTTTTTCTCTGGAACTCCTGTGAACCAGAAGACTATTGTTATCCTCATCATACTGATACAGAAATTGAGGAGCAACACGTTTACATTATTTGCTCAAGATCATGCAGCTAGTACCTGTAAGAGTTGAGATTTTAACTTTAGCAGTCTGCCTCTGAGCTAGAGGTTCCTCCTTCTTTGACTGTACTTCTCCAGGACATTACTGAGCACTGAGTAGATGTAGGAACTGGGATGAATGTGCATTTCATTTGACCTTATAATATACCCTGGGAATTAC